TCATCTCTCAAGTCATTTTGTTTACTCATTTAACTGTCACCAACTAACAGTTGTAAATATTATTAAATTGGCTGCCTGACATAAACTCCTCAAAGATGACATCAAGAATGCTGTATTATCCTTTTCTTCTCTGCCTTCCTGAACTGATCTTGTGCCAATTCAGTACACAGTATGTACTAAAATATACAATATTTATGACACATTGACTAAAGTGTTGCTTTAAAGCTGATCACAGAAGATTGGAAACCCTCGTGATTGCTCATTTGTAACTCATCCAATCATGATGGCTCATGTCGGGGAGGATTTAGAAAAAAGGGGAAATGCTAGCTTAAAACATTCGTGTTTCTCTTTTCCAGGAATTTCAGTGTGTATTTATCCATATGAAGTTTACTGCCTCAAATTTTTTGATCTGCATTCACATTACAGAGTAAAAATAGTTTGAAAGTGATCAAAGAAATTCTATCAGACTACCTTTCCACTGTTTTTTTTTTTTTTTATGGCCAATGATCCTCTGCTCCTCAGATAAGGCCAAGGCTGACAGTCCAGAAGAGCTTTCTGAAGTGGTACTGCCTGCTCCCTATGATGCACATTTAAGCAGTATTTACATAATTATTACCTCTTCATGTAACCTGTTAGTCATTTAACGTGATGAATGTCAAATATTTAGTTCCGAAGTGAAACTGATGTGTCTCAATGAATCCCCTATAGTACTGAAAATGTTTATGATACCCGAATTGCTCCAATAAACTGTATTTTAAAATTTCTTCTAAAATACTTATCTCTTATAGTTTAGACTCTGTCTGGAAGGACTAGGCCTATGCTATCATGGCTGAAATAGTAAACCAAAATCCAGCTACTTCTGGAAAGTGACAAAAATGTTCCTTTTTGTTTTAAATAAATGATAATTGCCTCCAGCACACAAATAATGTGGACTTGAGAAATGGAAAATATGTGTAAATCTAAAAGTCTTTTTTGAAAGAGTGACAGGATTAAACATCACTTTTCTGCATAGGTGGTGTGACATTTTCATTTTGTTCCAAGTTATTTTACTTTTTGTGTGACTCTGGAGTTTATAAACATGCCATAAAATTTGGTAATTACATAATGATGATTTCATGGTCTGTCTTTGAATAAAGGTAGCTAGACATAGCAGCAAAATTGATTTCCTTTTTTACCTTCATGGAAGGCAACAAAAGGAAATTGAATGCAAAATCTGCATTAAGACCATACTAGAATTATAACCCAGCAATCTGTTACACATGAAATGAAAACCAGGTGCAGCCAAGTGTTTCTTATTATGTTATGATATTCAGCCAACAGGTGAAGTTCAAACAACCTTCTGTTGAACCATGCCTTGTTTTGATACCCACAAGGTTCCAAGTCCATATGACTTGACACTATCTCTTGTCTCCTCTTGCCAAGGTACTACCTGGAGGCAGGACTGCCCCTAGACAAAACCATGAAGTGGGTGAAAGTTGGGTTCATTCCCTACTTCTTTGCAACGACAGTCTCATCTTAGATCCTTTCTACCTCCTTGTCCCCCAGTGCCCAAGTGGCTCATTGCTCTAGATTTACACTCTGTTTTCCAGGAGGCTCATAGTGTTTCTTGTTGTCCAGTCCCTCTTCCATCTATAGTTTTCTTGCTCAAAAGATGTTCAGTGGCTTCACAAAAGAAGCCAGATAATCAACATCTTCCCTCCTTTCCTTCAGATGCCTACTGCCCATAGCTCCCCTCCAGTGTTCTAGTGCAGGTGGCTTATCACCTTGCCCTTTTTATGTACACTTTCCACCCCATGCTATTCCTTCTGCCCTAGCAGGCCTTCATCACTCATCTCCATCCGTGAAAATCCTAATCATCTTTCAAGGCTTCATGCAGCTCTGCCTCCTTCAAGTACCTTCCCTAGCCACCCCCAGCCTGCTTCCTCCATACTTCATCCGTACCACTCAATGGCCCTTAATACATACGCTGCTTTGTATCATAATATTTATGTGCGTGTTGTCTCCAGGCACTGTGCTGGGCATTTGACAAACATAATCTCATTTAAATTTCACAACAGTCTGTTGGGGTAGGGATTACCCTACCATTTAACAGTTAAGGAAACTGAGGCTCAAATAGGTTAAATAATTTGCCCAAAGCCACACTGCTAAAAAAGTCACAGGGCTAAGACCTAAACCCAGGTCCAAAACATATTGTTTTTTTCACTAAACCATGTTGCCATTTTTCAGTTCTTTTCTATCTTCTGAAAGATGGATGGAGCTTTAAGGTGGAAAAAGTAGCCAGCTTAGCCTTTCTGATGATCAAATATGTATTCAACAAGTGGAAACAGTTTATTGGTAATTACTGTATTCCTAGACAGAGCTGACTGGTTAACTGTAATCCATGAGGAATTCAAGGAAAGCATGAGAGAAAAATATTCTGTACCTAAAGTTGGCAGAATAAGCACAGGATAGGAAGGGCATGTCCAAGAAAAGCTGTAATTCAAGAAAGGCTAGATAGCATTGGATTTGAGCACACATGGAAAAGAAGTAAATGTAGGGTTGAGTAGGAAATCCTTCCTACAAGTCCCCCGTGGTTTTTACAATTTGGGGTGGTTGGGAGACTGAAGATACGATTATCACCTAGATCTCATATAATCTGACAGTGTATCTATTGAGTAAAAAGCCCATTTTGCCATTTTCTCTTGGTGTGGCACCTTGGATAAGTTAGGGGAGAGAAGCTCAGTGTTTTTAAGAGGAAGGTCTCATCCCAAATGGCCTGCTATTACAACTGTCCTCAGTACCACCCAGGACCATGGAGTCGGAGCCCACCCGAGACGTCTGTGTTCTGGGAAGTCCTCAGCCCAGGGCCTGCTTCCTGCCAGTCCCGTGGCAGAGGCTCCATCCCTGGAAAATATTTAGTCTTTGGATCTCTGTGTGTGTTGCACCATAGGAAAAATCAAAAATCTGCCTCCATTGCTGCTGTTGTATTCTGATTTCATTTCCCATTCCCCCAGCTTGTCATATTATCAGTTGCATATTCCTTGGACATGAGTAAGATGTAGTTATCCCTGAATGTGTGGTCTCAGTGCACCTCTGTTAACTTCTGACGGTCACTCTGCTTTGTCTGCAACTCCGTTTCAACTTGTGTGTGCTCTCTGTATGCCGATCCCGTTCGTATTTGGCTCCACCCTTTGTCCCTCATACCACTCTTAATGATAACTTAAAATTATCATTTAGGGAAAATAAGGCATATAATCTAAACTTGAATATAGCAATCATACTGAACTTCAGGCCCTATGCTAGGAAGTCTGAAGATGTTTGTTTCCATTTACATGCTAAGTCGGAGGAATTCAACAAGCCTAACAAGAAAACCACCTTCAACCACACTAGGACAAAGGCAAACACAAAAGCTCTATATTTCTTTTCTTTAATGTTTTAATGATTTTTCTTATTATCTACAAAAGTCCTCACAGCTAATATACTATTCTGTCTTACTTTTAATTTTGAAATAGTTATAGATTCACAGAAATTACAAAAGAAATGAAAAGGGAGGTTTTGTATACACCTCAGGTCATTTCACCCAGGGGTCACATCTTATGTAATCATAGGGCGCGTAGCTAAGCCAGAAAATTGACATCGGTCAAATTCACTTTTAAATTTCAAAAAAGAAAAAAAGTAAATCCACCCTAAAGACAACCTAGTCAGCTTTAAGTTCCATTCTGCATTCTCTTTCTGTTCACAAGTGGTAAGCAGGTTGACAACTTGGGGGTGGGGGAGGTGGTCTGTCCATGCGACCACAGAGAAAACTCCAGCACATTGTTAGTGATGATCCCCAGATCTCATTAAATTTCTAGGTCAAGGTTACAACAGAGCTGTGCAAAGGAATGAGTCTTCACATCTGAAGACTCAGGTTGGAATCAGGTTCTGCCTCCAAACGTGTGACCTTGAGCAAACCACTTGACCTCTCCAAGCTTTCAGTGTCTTCCTCTGTGAAATGGGGAAACTCTCCTGCCTCCTTCAGAGGGCTTTTGAGGGCTGTCCGGGGAATCCAGTGCGGTGATGCGTGTGAAGGGGTACAGCAGCCTGTGAATCGGCCGCCATGAAAGCGCATATTCTTTTCTCAAACTACTGCCAGTAACAGAAATGTAGCTTTTCAGAGATAGTTTTCTTCTTAGAAACAGAATAAATCTACCTCCTTCTTAACAACCAGGCCTAGAATGTCTATCATGTGTAAATGGCCTTCCCTTTCTACCGCTCCTAGGAGGACGGATACCAGCAGTACATTGGACCAGCACTCTGCAACTCATTACCTGCATACCCCTAAGGCACAGGATCTATTTTAAAATAAATATTTCTTCACATTTTCTTCTAAAAGGTCGACTGCATTTTAAGTAGCTTTTATTTTTATCCTGACTGCTGGGTTCATACAGTCTTACTTTTTTAATGCCATGAGATGTACAATAGGTGGTCTTGACAATAGTGAGGAATTATAAGAGCACCATATTAAACCGCAAATGGTTTATGAAGTAGAAACAGAAACCCTCCACACTGCATTGTTTCTTGGTCTGTCTGGGTATATACACCGTATTTTTTGGATTATAAGACACACTTTTTTTTCCCTTTTCCTTTCTCCCCTCCCCACAAATTTGAGAGAAATAATGGTTGTTAATGCTGCTGTTGAGTTCTTACATTTACATTGGTGAAATATTATGTTATTTAGGTTATTAGATATTTTACCACATCTTTTGCTTCAAAATTTTTTTCCTATTTTCCTCCTCTAAAATCTAGGTGTGTCTTATGATCTGAAAAATATGGGTAATATAAACTCTGACTCACCAGTGGACCCTGGTGTGTGGGAATAAAATTGCTTGTCTTGGCAGTAACGGTGGAGAAACAACATAGGCGCAAATAAACTTAAATCACAGAAAGTAAAGACAAACGTCTTTGTGTATAGTGAACATTCGGGGCAGCGCAATAAAAATGTTAAGATCTGTTTTCTCCCCTCTCCTTCTTACATACAGGCTGGCATGGCTCTGACCTATGACCCCACAGCTGCCATACAGAATGGGTAAGTAGCCCACGTTTTCTCTAATTGAATTGCTAAGATGTCTTTGAACTCCAAAGGCAGTACTGAAGAAAAAGGTTCAAGTCTGTCTTTTGTGTGAAATCTGTAAACAAAACCCGTGAGCCAAACGTTCTCACCATTGCACCTCTCTGTCTTCCCGTGAGGGACTCGGACTTCGGGGCCTCTCCCACCTGACCCGTTCTCACAATGTCTCCGCCCATATTAAATAAAATACACATCTCTCTGGAAATATCCTTATTCATGGCAAACCTAACGGGGAGAAAGGGAAGTTTCAGCTCCCAATATGAGCAGCCAAAGATGAACTTTGGGCAGTGCCGTGTCTGGGACAGTGAGGACCACCTGGCACACGGTGAGCCTCTCTCCCTTCCCCTGCAGGTTGCCACGTCTGCACCAGTTGACACTGACTGGCTTATATCTCTTCGCCTTAAATCACCTGCTGTGTGATGCATCTTCATCTGTGTCTTCTATTAACAGTATGGCATCGCATTCTATTCTTTGAACTAACAGTTACAAAAAAAGGCTCACTCTCTTCTGCTCTTTATTATATTTATAACAATGAATATATTCCTCATGAAACAAACTTTATTGAAGATGCTGAGGGGACCTGTTGATTTTATCTGCTGTCTTCTGCTATAGAACTTTCTCCCATCAATCAGCCCCTGGCTTCAATACCTTCTTGTGCACTGAACATTCATTTCAGCCTGTTATACACAAGTCCCTCCTTTCTTTCTCACAGGTAGACACCTTCAGTCTTTATGCATGCTGTCTTCCTGTATTCTCCTGTAATTAATCCTATTGAGTCACCAATTCTGGTCTCAAACTTTACTGAATTTCCCTTGCTGATGCCCCCAGTAATCTCCAAATTTGGCCATGGGTAACTGTAACTTTTTTAGTCCTTCAATTTGAAATCCTACCTCTTTTGGCATTTTGAACCATTTATGCCTTCTTGAAAATGTCTTCTTATTTGGGTCCCACAAGTTCATTCTTTGCTGATTTCCCTTGCTCCCTATTCTTACTGCTCATTCGATACCTTCTTATTCCACCTGTTCTGCCCTCTTTGCATCATCTTTCTCAGGGTTTAGTCTTTTTCACTCTTTTCCTTCTGGTTAATCTCATCCACTCCCCTTGCTTTTAGGGCCTGAAGAATCCCAAGTCTGTTCTTCAAGCTTATAACCTGATACAGAGCACTATAACTTGTGTTTCCAATGGCTTATTAAGTATTGTTGTCAGATATTTTTATATGTCCCCAGTAGGTCATTTACCCTCCTCAGCTCCACCTAATATAAAACAAACGAATGCAAATGAAAAGCAAATATCAAATTATTTGTCCCTTTTTACAAAACTTCACTCTAAAACCATTTAATATGGAAACTCCAGTTCTCTGGATTTTCTCTTCTGCAACATTTTTTTATGATCAAATCAATCATTAAGACATTTTCAATATATCTTTGAGCTGTATCTTCAATGTCCTGCCCTTTCCCCTGCTTCTTATTGAGTCCATTCATTCACCTTTCTCTACCGGTCTAAACTTTTACGTGCCTCTAATATAACTCTCCTGCAAACTATTTTCACATTGCTTTTTGAATAATTTTCTTAAAAGCAAAGTGTGACCTTAAGAATCATCTACCTGCCAGATTTTAAGTATTAGGTGAACTTTACTAACCAAAGAACAAAACCAGAACTCCCAAGAATGGCACAAAAAGAACTACATGGTACAGTTCCTGCAACTAGACCTTCAGTGGTTCTCAGAACATCTCACACAGCTTTACGTCTCGGTGTCTTGCTGCTCATGGAATTTTCTCCGTTGGAGTTCAGACATGGAAATACTTCTCTCTCCTCCCTCTCTCTCTCTCCCCCTCACTGTCCCTCCCTCCTCCCCCTTTTTCTTTCTTCCTCTCTCTCTTTTTACACAGGTCTGATTTAAAGAACAACAACATATCATACCAGATAGAGCAAGTTATATAATTAGGCATAACAGAAATAGTATAAGCAGTGGTTGAAAGTGCAGACTTCAGAACCAGCCTGCCCAAATATGCATCCAAATTTTGTCCTTCACTAAAAGTGGACTAGGTGCTTGTCTTCTTCCCCTGTGAAATGCAGACAATAGTAACAGTAGCTTTCCCTAAGACTTGGTAAGAGTCAAAGGCACCCTATATGGTATGATGTAATTATCATTATAAATATTGATGCTACCATTGCACTGTATTTGATGTTCACACGATACATGTGAATCTTTTTATCATACAGTCATTGACCCTCAGTTGTATTTCCCTGCTGGACTACTAACTCAGTGAAGGCAGGTCCCGTGTCTTGCTCATCTTTACAGATTGTTTAACCTAGGGTTGTGCGTGCCAAGTCAGAAATAGAAACGTGACTGATGACATCTGTTTGGCTCCAGCAAGTTGGCATTAGGGAAAGCCTTTTCCTTCCCGACATCAACCCATTCTGTCCCCATGTAACACCTTAAATACAACCTCCAGTTTCACCCCAAGAATCTGAACCACCCACAACTATCTCATATACTGGGTTAGGAATGAGGTTTTCTAAGCTTAAGACACATTTGGAAGCTTATTGTGTTCTTGATAACAAGATAAAAATGCTATATAATGAAATTGAACAACAGGAAAGTTGTAGCTAATTAATCTTATTTATTCGGTACTTCATATAGATAATTTTTAAATGTTTTCCTTACCTTTGGTTTTATTACCTTATATGGTAGCATTTGAGTAAAAGGGAACTAGTAGAACAGTCATTTCTGTACATGTAAGATGTCAAAATAACCAGCAATATATTCTCAACATACTGTCCCTTGAGTTAACACTAGCACATGCCTTTCAGAGGTATAGAATCTGATTTAGATAACTTAGCCTATTAAGGGATCTCGCATGAATGTTCAGAATAAAGTATTTTGTTCTCTGTTCATATTGCAGTATTCAGTGTAGCAGTCAAGCATTCCACAGAGAGCAGTAACCTAACAGAGGTAGAAATATTTATTACTGTAGGGAAGAGACTGGTCCCATTTTACATAGAACAAGTGGTATACAAAAATATAGTTGCAGTTCTTACCTAGTTATATTATTAAACCCTGCTCACCCTGACTGGTGTGGCTCAGTGGATTGAGAGCCGCCTAAGAACCAAGTGGCTGTTGGTTCTATTCCCAGTCAGAGCACATGCCTGGGTTGCTGACCAGCTGAAGTCCCCAGTAGGAGGTGGGGTGCAAGAGGTAACCACACATGGATGTTTCTCTCCCTCTGTTTCTCCCTCCCTTCCCCTCTGTCTAAAAATAAATAAATAAAATCGATTTAAAAATATTAAACACTGCTTCATTCTGACTCAGTTCACTTCAACAATTTTTTTTTGAGTATCTATTGCTCTATTGAACATCATCTTGGTGACACAGATTTGAAAAAAGAAAATTTTCACATCCTGTCAGGGAAAATGGACACGTAGGCAATTCTGGCACAGGATACAGTGGAACTGGCACTGTGAGGGAAGCAGGAGTAATATGAGACCTGTGTATAGATTCACTCTCATATGCACAAACACGTCGGAAAGAGTACACAAGAAGAGGGAGGGAAGTCCTGTGGAAAAAGCCTGTGGAAATAGGAGTGACAGTGACTTCATTTTTACTGTTTATGTTTTCATATTCTTTTCAAAAAAGTAGAGCATTGGACCACAAAGGAGAGGCACTCTAAAGAGGGATTCGAAAGCTTCTTGATGGGACACTGGCCCTGTCTTTTTCTCTCATAGATCACCCATATCATAGCTAAAGCATGTTTGATGATCCTGTGGTATCCCGTAGCTGCATACTAAGCCATAGTGTTTTCTGGCTATTGTAAGCAAATACGTGGCTGGGTTATAGCGATTAACTACCACAAACTGTGTGCGGAGTTCAATGTTCTGAATTCCTTACCCTCCCCACTAATAGGCAGCATGAAACTGAAATAAATGCTACCGAATTTAGCTTGATTTTTTAGTTAATGAAGAACAAACATTTGTAAACATGGACCGTGGCAAATCTGTGCTGTTTGCATTTAGGCATAGAAAATGTCAGTTTTGTCATGTGCTTGAATCTACTCAAAATATCATTTTCAACAAGTTAGTTCAATGTCACTTCTGTGTAAGGGGTTGAAGGGTCAGTGAGGAAGTGTCTGGGTGACACTGGAAAAGTAAAAACCATGGTACATTTTACTATAGGTGACCTTATGAGAATAAAAAAAGTGTTTCTTCTTTCAGAACTACCTCGCATAATTCTGCAGTTTGTTATTACTATTGCCCTATTACTTTTTTAGCATTCCAATATCAAATTCTATCATTTTCAAATATGCGTGTGGGAAGTGGAAAGTAATCCATTCCTATGTTTAAAATCTCATCTTTCCTGTGCCCTTTTACCAAGTTGGCTGTGTAGAAATCTCTTGGGTTGTTTTATTTGAATAAAAGGCATCATTGGCAGACATATGAAAAAGAATGTGTTCTATATAGCATTGGTTTGCCAGCTGTTTTATATGGGCATTTGATATTAAGTGATACTGAAATCTTATCATATTACACTAGCAAAGGAATCTAATGGTAAAGGCTACATTGGAATGACAATAAAAATGACCGATAACTTATTAGTCTTATGCTATAGTATTACCCCACGGATAGTATTCATGATTCTGACTAACAATATTGCTTGTGGACAGGGAAGACAAGCCAGCACTGTTTGTTGCAGTGTGCAAATGCGATTTTGTGTGGTATTCTCCTGTCACAAAAAAAAAAAAAAGATTCTACCCTGGGGTTATTGATATATTCATGTTATTTTTATTGTCAGTGAAATAAGATTTTATCATATTACTTCTGACTGCCAAATCCCCTGAAGGTGACTTTTCTGCAGGCAGCGTAATGTCCTATTAGTGGTCTAGACTTGCATTGGCTGGACTTGTAGAGGTCACTTGCTTTAAATGCCAGAGGACCAAGTAACTCTTTGCACTCCTTAAAAATACTAAGGTTTTGAGAAGCCAGCTTAGAGTTCCGTGGACAGACCCTACTTAATTAACTTCTTTTAGCCACTTTGACATTTGGTATTTTGTTCATGTGAAACCTCTCCAGAAGAAACTAGTTTCTATCCCTAAATCAAGGTTTCTCAACCTCAATGCTACTGACATTTAAGAGTTAGAGCGGGATGTTGAGCGGCATTGCAGACCTGTACACACCGGGTGCCGGTAGCAGCACCCCCACCAGCCTAGCTGTGACAACCAAACATGACTATATTCTGCCTAATGTCCCCTGGGGGACACAATCACTTCTAATTTAGAACCACTGGGCAAAGTAGAAAAGGAACACTTGCCATACACATAACATTATGTGAATTTTGGCAAAGAAATATCTCTTAAGAGAGTCAACTATTCCCAGGAACGTAGTTTGTTCAAGAATTCATTCCCAGGTTTCTGTGCTAGCATTTGCAAAGCATAATGTATAGATAACGAATACAAATGGTATATAAAGCCACATGTTTAGAATTACCTTAGTTTTGTTATTATGGCTAACAAATTCTGTGATTTTCCTCTTTCTTGTTCTTCGATAACACAGTGGCTGTTCTTGAAGTATTTATTTGGAATTTATTCAATGTTCTGGTTATGTGAAATTCATTTTACATCATGACATATACATGGCAGGGATTGAGAAAAAGTAAAGAGATTGAGAAACTCATTCTACAGTTTTCTTTTTGGAGCCTGGTCCTATATATTTTCCTTAGACTCTGTACCTCTACAGCTTAGATGCAAAAGTCATGGTTAAACCAAGGGTTTCTTGTAAATTCATCTGGTTTATGTTTGGACTTGGGAAGAGCTTGTATCAAAATACTGGAATTAGGGGATCAAGACAGTGTGCTGAGTCCATTCTTCCCAGCATATTTTCCATTGTCTGACTTTAGCACCAGCATTGGAAATTGTAGGAAAGTATGAAATATTCTTGTTTGATGGACAGGGTTAAAGCAGATAAAACACAAATGCATTCAATTTACCCCCAAGGGTTCTGTTGTTAGTATCAGTTTCCTTGGCTGGTGTCTGTACATTTCTGCTCTCTGTTTTCCCCATAGAGTTTTCTGTAAACTCTGCCTGCCCATCCAGTCCTTGTGGCTTTCATTTCTAATACTCCATTTGGTACATTTTACAAAATAAATCAGCCATGCTAAAATGCGATGCACAGTGTGCTCCAGTGGTGGGAGAGGCTGAATCGGGGTCTTTAACTGAAGTTAATCATGGCGCGGTGAAGGAGAAGGGCTGTTTGTGGAGCTGCCATGGTGCCTCTCACGTCATCGTGAGCCTCAAATACGTCTTTCTGTTCACTTCCCCCATAAGGAAGGAAGATTGGACAAAGATGAGACCTCAAGGAGATTCTTAGTTGCAAACCATGATTTTTGTAGAAAAGTACTGGTTTTCCTAGTTAGTAATACCTCTGCCTGCTTAGAAAGCAGGTATGAATGCTTCCACTGAGCATTTATAAACATGTGATGCTGGCCTATCTCCTCTGGCTTCTGTCCCTTGTTTGCTACCAGTTCAGGGACCATCTTCTGTCCTCCCACCATCTTGGCATTGGCCATTGTGTACTGTAATCATTACTTATGCTCCCAAGCTGCTCTGCATTCACTCATTCATTCAAAATTCAGTCATTCTGTATCTACTGAGTCTCAGATTTTGTTCTAGACAACAAAGCAAATGTTCTCAACTTTCTTGAAGCTGTCGATCTGGTGGGAGAAACAGTTAATACATACATTTGTATTCATCATCTTGACTTCCATGACAAAATACTATCGATTGAATGGCTCTAAAGAGAAATGTATTTCCTCACTGTTCTGGAGGTGAGAAGTCCAAGATCAAGATCTGGCAGATTCAGCTTCTGATGAGGACCCTACTCCTGACTCGGAGACAGCTGCCTTCTCACTGTGCCCGCACATGAAACTTCCTGCATGTACATGTGTGCAGAGAGGGAGCAAGCTCTCCAGTGTCTTTTCTGATAAGGACACTGATCCTATCAGACCGGGGCCCCACTCTGGTCTGAGAGCTCAGTTAACCTTACTTGCTTCCCTAGAGGCTCCACCTCCAAATATAACCAACCTGGGAGTTAGGATGTCCATAGGAATTTTGGAGGGACACTAACATTAGTCTATAAAATACTATTTCAGGTAGTGATAAGAGTAATGAAAACAATCAGTTAGAGGAAAGGCACAGAGAACAATTGGGACAGAGATGGTAGCTGCTGCTTTAGCTACAGGCCTCTCTGAAAAAGTGGAAGTTGAATCAGACCGATCATAGACAAGAGGCAGTCTTGGGGAGATTTAGTTAAATGAGCATTCTAGGCAGAGAGAATTATAAGTTCAGTGTCCGAGATGGAAGTGAGAATGGTATGATCATGTGACAAAAGAAGGCCTGCGCGGTTGGATCCTAATTGGCTAGGGGGAGGAGGTAGGAGAAGACGTTAGAGAGGTAGGCAGTGGCCTGACTGTGCCCGACAATCCTAGGGGGTCAAATTTTGTTCTTGTTGCAATGGAAAGTTATTGGTGGCTTTTAGAATGATTCACGTACAGATGAGATTTGATTTAAGTGACTAAATAGAGAAACTCGAAGGAATGTTTTAGAGTCTTCCCCATCTTTGGTACACATAGTAAATGCTCAGGACATTTTTTTAAAGTGTAAGGAGAGATGTTTTCTTACATCGTAATTGACTTTTTTACAAGTCGGTTTTATTAGGTGCAATTTACATAGAATATTATTCACTCTCTATAGTGTACAGTGCTATGAGTTCTGGCGAACATAGTCATGTAGGCACCAAACAATCAAGATAAAGAAGAGTTACATCACTTCCCCAGATTCCCTCCTGCATCACTGTAGTCAACTGCTCCTTCCAACCCCTGCCTTTGTCCTCCACTCATCTATTTTCTGTCTTTACAGTTCTGCATTTTCTATGTCACAATATAAATTGAAATATAAAATATAAGGTCTTTTAAGTCTGACTTCTTTCATTTAGCGTAATTCACTCAAGACTCATCCTGTTAAATGTATCAGTAGTTCTTTCCTTTTGACTGCTGAGTAGTGGTCCAGATTGTCCCGATGCACCAGTTTGTTTATTGACTCGGTTAAAGGATGTTTGGCTTGTTTCCAGTCTTTGGCAAGTATCAACAAATGTGCTATGAACATTTGCATTAAGGTTTTTGTGCAAACATGTGTTTTCATTTATCTTTAGTTAATATCTATCAGTAGGATTATAGGGTTATATGTCATGTGCATGTTTAACATTATAAGAAACTTCCAACCTGTTTTTCACAATGGCTGTCCCATTGTGCACTTCCACCAGCAGTGAATGAGAGTTCTACTTTCCCTGAATTCTTGCCAGCACTAGTATTGTCATTTTAACAAATGGTCATTCTAATAGGTGTGTAGTCAAAAGCTTTTTTCAAACTGCACAACTGTAAATGTAGATGTCTGTTGAGTATGAATAGTAAGGATGTAATATGTAAGGGAGTAATTTTTAGCTGTATTTTTTTTAGCCAAAAGAGTATGATGTTATAATTCTTACTGAGAACTAGATAAAGTAAAATTTGAGAATATAGTTCCCTAATACTAGCTTGGAGACTTATAAAATATAAGCTTAAAGAATTTATTCCTTAAATGGCAACCTTGAAATCTAGCCCTTCTATATTTAATGCGAGTCTTGTGGAATGCCCCTTTAGAAAGGTAACCCATCAGGTTATACAAAATATTGGTGACTCCTGAGGTATGATGAAACTTTTGTCCCCAAAACTCCAACCTCAGTCATATAATTTTTTTTCAAAATTAAAAATAGTAGTTGACTTTTGCTAACAGTATGGCCAAGTAACATAATGATTCTATTATCTTTGATACACATTTTCCCAATTTATCCTCACATCAGTGAAATACTCCATCATAGGCTACCTTGCTTCGTCTGCTCTTTGGCTGGCCACTCTAGCCTTCCATTTACCAGTGAGACCTTAAGGAAGAAACATGATCTTGAATTCTGCTGAGGAATTTGAGCATTATGTAACTTGTGGACTCCAGGCTGTCATCTGAGCAAAGATGGGAATGTCACTGAGTCCAGTGTCTAGAAGATACCCTTTAACAGATCTCTAGAAGGATAATCCTCCTCTGATTTGTGAAGCCCTCATCTTGCTCAGTATCATTCTATAATTGTCCAGTGAAGGGCCCTGGAGGACTAGAAAACTCAATGCTTTTTACAGAGTCCATGTCCAGAATTTCCACCAATGCCATTACTGAACCCAGAAAATATTCCTATCTGTACCTAGACACAAACTGTCTGCTTGTCTTTTATGGAGAAAGTATTTAGCTTAGTTTTCACACGAGGGTATGGACTCCTGCCTAGCACATGTTATCTAAAACTCTCTTGTAGCAGATTCCCTTTCCTAAACGAAAAAATGCAGTCTATGTACGAGCAACAACAGCCAGCTCCATAAAGCTTGGTGCTATCACTTTGCCTTTTTTCCCCAAAGAGCTTTAAAATGGCATCATCATCTTTTAAAAACAGAATAAAACAGTGCCTGTGGCTTCTCTCCCTTCCTGGTTAAACATACCCTTACAGTCACCTGGCATAAGAGATTTTGTGTGGCCAATTGTATGAGATGACTCCAAGTTGTCATTTTGGTTCAGAATACTTTATTTCTCTTAGTGGAATCAAAGACTCTGAATCACCTGGATGCTCCTGTTAATGAAAAGTCGGTGGGAGAACGTGAGGGTGGAACTCTGCCCTTCCCAGAAGTGCTTGGAAGCACGTGCCAAGTGGCCAGGCATGCAGCAGCTTTATGAATCTTCTTTCTTTGTTGTTGTTTTCTGTTCGCAGATTTTATTCTTCACCGTACAGTATTGCAACCAACCGCATGATTCCACAGACATCTATCACGCCATTCATTGCTGCTTCCCCTGTCTCCACATACCAGGTATGTCTGATTTACCTGCACCTCAGGACAGATCTTTCTTGCCAGTGATAGGCTACATGAAGGCCAAGCCATAGTCGAATTGTAAAAACTGGTCCTCAAACACTTCAGTACACATCCTGATGTAATAATACTCAAGTTACCAATTAGCCTACACGTCCGAGGGCTCGTTTGCCTCTGTTTCACTGATTAAGAAAATCCACCGTGCTTTCCATTCTTCCCACTGAGTTTTCATGATTACACTACCTTCCAGCCAACTTTAGTGCAGCTCTCCGACCACTGAGAAATTATTTTGTTTGTTGTCTGTTATTTTGGTTGTCACGCTTCTTATTGTGTCTTTTCTAAAAGCACATTTGTAGCACTCCCTGCCCTTGCTCCAGCATACTCTGTCATTGTCATCTCATTTTGCCACAGCTGTCCTGTGTATCCGTGTAAAACCACATGGATGCATGTTCAATCATTCTCCCCAAGAACTAGGAAAGATTATCAAAGTGGTGAAAAGTTATTCCTCCTTTCGGCTCTTACTTCATTCTCAGTTTCAAAGAAGCCAAAAGAGACCTCAGGGGTTCCACATGTTGAAACACAAGAAAATCTGAGGCTCAGTGTGTGTCCTAAACCAGATGTTGTAGCCAGTTAACTCTATGTACACAGGTGGATTGGAATAGTCATACTTCTCCCTTAGAAACTGCTTCTTATCTTATTTCTTTGAGTTATGGAACATGTGATATCACTCACTGCTTCTCTTTACCTCATATTGTTCTTCAGACAAGTCTTCTTATTCTAATTAGCAATAGATCTCAAGGTTACATACAGAGAGGATCTAGTGTCATGTTTTTAAAACGCTGGAGAAAGAGAAAAAGCGAGAGAGTGCAAGAGCGTGCATGCCATGTGTTTCTCTATATTTTGCAGATGGTGGGGGTGGATGTTTTACAACGGGTAAAACTCTAATGTTTCTGACTGCTACTAATTCAGTTAAGTGTCGCCTTATTCAGCCACTATGTACTTCATTTCAGGATGTCCCAGTTGTCAGAGCATCAAGCCTAAGACTATGTACATTTTTCTTTAACGTATGGCCCCTGAAGCAGTTCATTTTCATTCATTTCCTGCACTTAGACTCTTGATACATGTCAGTGGGCGAACAGAGTAGACGCTTGTGGAATTGCATTTGAGGGTCTCAGAATGACTGACTTCCTAATTGCCTTTCCCTGGGACCCGTGAGGCTGTGTGCAGGTGCTGTTCACTTTTCGTTCTGCATGCAGGCCTGCCTGGTTGTAATGTGTTTTGTTTTGTTTTACCCATTTCTTTCCCCTGATCTTGGCCTCTGTTTCAGCCAAGACCACCCATTGAGCCCCAGTATGGAGCACTTTGGTGACATGAATAAAATATCCACAGAAAAGTGATTTTACTTGGGAGGGCTCATAAGTGGAATTTAACCCCAGCTCTCTTTTCTCATAAAAGGAATTAGAGCAATTTCCTATGTTGTTGATTCTTGCCTTTCAACACTTCTTTCTTCTTTTTTTTTATTTTAAATCTAAACTGCATTGGCAATTTTGCTCGTGTGAATATATTAAAAACAAAAAGTCTTTAAGATTCTCTATGTGACAATCAGCTCTTATGGCTGACTTTCTCCTTTGGCTGACAAGGCACATTGCAGAGCATTTGGCTGGCTCAAATACACATTTTTATTTACCATACCAATGACCATGAGAGAAAAAATTACAAACTTGCTTAAGTTGTGTTTTCCAAAGCATTTCCTCAAATTTTTGGTTGCTCGATTTAATTTATACCTCAATTTTTACCACTTGGACTTATTTCCAAGATGGGAATCACTTGAGAATTTGAAGTTAAAACAAGTGACAGAAAAAAAAGGAAGTCTTAGCAGTAAACTCATGCCTCCTTATTAATTGCCCAGGTATCCCTAGGAGTTGACCTCTAAATAAGAAGGTCCCTGTGGCTACCTAATGCTTTAGTCTCCAACACCATCCTCAATATGCTCTACATCCCCGCCTGGCCCCTGTGGACACTGTAGCCAGCTCCAGTGAGGCAGGAATTTGCTTTACATTTGCTGATCATGTTTCAGGGACCAAATTAATCAGGTCCAGGAATGTACTTTCTATCCTTAGTTTTGAGCACTTGTTAGCTGTAAAGTCAGATGGACTCCACTTTCTTATGACCTAGTGTGACTCCACTGAACGCAAGAACCAAGTTCTCTCTGTGATTGCTTTGTGCTAATAAATGCTGTTTGATGCATAGGTCCAGAGTACTTCATGGATGCCTCATCCGCCATACGTTATGCAACCAACAGTAAGTGTTCTCAGTCACCTGAGGCTAAATATTTCTATTATCCAAGTGCAAGCTTTTGTAATGCATAGGAGCTTTGGGGTAAAGCTTTTGTTATAGTCCATACCTCTTTCAGGCAGCCATATTTTTTCAGATAAAAAGCTGTTCCTGAAATTCTACAAAAGCATGTACAATAGATAGAGATAGAGGCAGAGACAGAGATAGAAATAGAAATAGAGATAGGTGCATAGATAGATATAGATAGATACAGATATAGATAGATACAGATATAGATAGATATGTAACAGATAAATTCTCTTGGAGGAAATATCAGTCATAACAGTCAATCTCTCAAGTTGATGTCTACTGTTTGTTATGAATAGGGAATTTCTACTTCATTCAGGAACTCTTGTTTTCCTTCTTCTATTATGCTTTGTTTTCTTCAAATGCAATTTGGTGAGGTTTGGGAATGAATTTCAGTATCAAGGCCAAGTGTTGACTCAAAGCAATATACCTGAAAGAGGAAAGTAGTTTATTAATAGATGGAGGTGTATAGATAGGTAGCAAGGTTGCTAGATATTTTTTTATGTTAATCACTAGAGGCCTTCTCTTTCCTCTTCTGTGGAAAATATCTTCCAAAAATATTCAAACTCTATTTTCTACTTGCTAGATTTCCCATTTGGTGGAACTATATTACATCAGTCCCAAGTGAAAAATATTACATATTCCATTAGAATCTAGACTGAAAGCTAATGATTCCATTTGTCTTTGTCTAGTTCTTTTAGGTTTTCTTGCTCTATAGAAGTGTTACGAGGTAGATTTCAATAACAACACACTCATGATAGTGTGAGGTAGGTGAGGAGCCCTAGACTGAAAGCTGCGTGACCGTCTCTGGAGGACACCTCTGAATATACTCACATCTGTGCCTTTGTTTCCTTACCTGTCACTATATTTAGAGTTTGGAGGAGAATCAAATAAGAACACATGTGAAAATAATTCTTTACATATGATATGCTACACATTATTATTACCATTATTCTTAGTATCATTGGAGCTATGTGTTATGCAAAGAAGAAGCAACCCTACTTTTTGAGTCTTCTCAAAGCTAAATACCAATAAGCTAGCACATATGAAGGACCAGGGAGCTAAATGCACAAGCATCCATTTCCTGGGCTCAAAGGATCACAGCACCTGGTTTTCATAGTTGAGCTTCCTCTATTTTAATTAAAATAAGGAATATTCTACATGGCTCCTAATGTTTTGATAGTTTGTTTTTTATTTAAAGAATAAAATAGATGTAGCTTACTGCGGCAGAACTTTAGACTATATTTTGCAAATCCCTCTCTTTACTCTTATTTCCACACTTTGGGGGCTTCCTGAGTTCATCTGGACTATGTTCTATAAATCATACCAACATACAATGGATCCAAGGTATACTTTTCTGTCCAAGTCATGAGGTAGAACTCAACATATGCTGCCAAACCAACGTATAGCACAGGCTGAGCCAACACAGGAAAGGAGAAGATGTCCTGCCAAGTTCTAAAGAGTAGACTTTCTAGAAGGAAACAACTACCTTCTAAAAAAAATAACGTGTTCATCTATAAAGCACTAGTGCTAGCTTAGTCCTCACACTGAGGTTAAGCATCATCTCACTGTGGCCAAAAGGAATGTGCATGTGGCAAAATACTCAGATTTGCCAGATGTTGAAGTATGTTAGACTCTACAGTGTTTCTAGAGCTGTGAAGAGAACGGAAAATGTTTGTATGTGTCTTTATTTCATTCAGAACCTTAGCAAATTTTTCACTACCACCTCCTCACCTGAGCACAGCTTCAGCCCTATTTTTGAAGACATTATTTCTCATACATCTTACTCTAGCAATAGCTGTGTGTGTCTGTGTGTGTTCCTTTGTTCCCTTGGACCTTCTTTGCTATGGCTCAATGGTATCTTATCACCCCCATGACCAGACTGTGCATCATGTTTGAGCTCAGGGCACTCAGTTTACAATATAATATTTGTGGCTGGGGCAATATCTGGGAAAGGGAGTATCTGAGCCACCCACCACTTTGTTGTCTCTAATGTGGAAAAATTGGCTGAACCGTCTCATGGAAACACGAAGTTTATACCACAGTCGCTGCCCTGCAATAGTCTTGCTGGTTTTCTAGGTTGCATAAATGTCCCAACTGATCCTAGTACCTTCATCAAGTGAGGGCTACATAATCACTCTATGACTATAGAGTGATAATCACTAAATCACTAAAATACACAAGGACTTAAGCACTCTAGGGCAAAGAAACAAAATACCTGAATCTGAAAAGAATGAATGATTTGATAATTAACAGCATGGAGACTTAGTTAGGCTTTTTAAGATAAAAAAAAACTTTTCTTCACTATGGGACTGTGGGCAATTAGGCTTCGTGAGCCACATTTTTATCTGTTATATATTTATATAATAATACCTAAAATAATTATGCATTTTGTTTATTAAAGAAAATAAGCTTTTAATATAGTGCCTGGCAAATGGCAAACACTCAATAAATTATTATTATTAATTAGTTAATTTATTTATCCGAGTAGATTATACCTTATGCCATAGATAGCCCAATTCTGTAAAATGAGTGTTAGTATAGAGAGCAAATTGGGATAAACAATAATCACCCATTTCTACCACATTTATACTGCTTATCTAACTTAGTTTACTAATGAGTTTGGTGGCGATAGCCTCTGTGGGTATAAATAAGACCCATTACTTAGGTTGGTAATTCAGTGACTTACTAAACCATTCACCTAAAATACTTAAAAAACAATAGTCCCATTGGGTACCTTCTGGAATCTACTTTACAAATGAATTCAAGGTGTCAGCATCAACATATCCCAGATAAGTTGTCCTAATTCTGATTTGCTTTCAGCTTTCCTCCTCTCCATCATTCTGGGAAAACCTCCTTTGTAAGCTGTAAGTGTTATTGTTGTGTTTTCCCGCCATCACTGGGAACGCACGTGACATCTGCCCTGGAGCCAGAAGCCTCGTGTGTTCTCTTTCAGTGTTGACTTGAAGGACTGTAAGATCTGAACCAGGTTTCTGATGAGAAAACAGCGCTTTTGGAAAGTCTGGAGGCAGAGCACAGTGCCTCTGGTCTTCACCAGGGTGGGAAACGTTTAAACTGGAGCAGCAACATCTGTAAGAAACAGAATGGTGGAGAGAAGGGAAGGGGGTAGTGTAGGGACAAGAGAAGAACAGAAAGCAGCGCATAGCACTGAAGCTTGCCACGTAAGTTTGCTTCTTTGGAGATTGAATTTTCCAAGTTGTGTGTAATATACTTTTTTGTACATTTAGAAACAAGATTCTGAAGAACTTTTTACTTTTATGAAAGAGGGGATGAAAGTCTCCTTGCCTGCCTTGAACTATCACAATGGCATTTGTACAAAAACAAAACAAAACAAAAAACAGGTCTCTGTCGGTTGCCCAACTCTGGGACTTTATTGGGGTCCCTGGAAAGTTGTCAGACCCCACTTAGGGCCATAAGAGTCTTTCTGTTTGCCTTGTGTTGCTTTTCACTTGAACAGACACTCACTGAGGAGGGAGCACACTAGACTAAATTAGGAACTCACTTTTGGCTGCGAGGAAGTAAAAATGCTGACTTTGTCAATGGAATCAGTTATTTGTCCCCGCTTCTCTCAGTGCAGGGCTCTGTACTGTACTCTGAAACCTCACCCTGACTCTGATGGAAGTTTAATAGATGATGGATTGCCCCAAATATCTGCTCTGCATAGCCGTGGGTCACATTGGGATCTCATATGAATTCACGATCGAAATCCTGTGTTGCAATGTGCCACATATTTGGTAAAATCTGTCCTGACAAGGAGAAAAGATGATCGTTCCCAAGAAGAAGCATAGTTCCTTTCCCTTCCGTTTTATTTAGGCTCATCTGAGTCATAAATCTTCTGTTCTTCATATGGTTAACATTATTTCATTTCAAGGAGAAAGGTCAGCTTTCATTTTCACTTAATGACAAATTGGTTATCTAATTACAGTATTCTTAAGAAATACAAGATGCCCCTACTGAATGGCTGGATGATTTGTTGCTATGCATGGCTCAATAATGACTCTTAGTAACCTATAGGTTTACAGGTAAATAGTAAATATGAACTTCTCCTTGACAACAAGGCTGTTCAAGAACGCTCCAGAATGTTCGATTTGGTCACTCTTTACCCACAAACTGTTAAAGGCTGAGGCCTAATTTTAGAGGTGGTGTCCTTCAAAATTTCAGGTGTGTTCTCTGTAAAAACACATCACCAAATTTGAAAGAGGTGGAAGAGGGTATAGGGGAGATAAATAGTAATGAAAAACGAATACAATAAAAATGGACTATTTAAAAAATAAATAAATCAGTACAATTCTGTTCAGAAAGCAAGGTTTTCAGAAACTGTCTTTTTACACCAACACTTGAGCGGAGCAAAAACTCCTACTACCTTCATTATCAGAGGCAAAGTGCTTTTGCTAGCTAAGGAGTTAACTGGGTAAATATGCATCTCCAGGGAAAATATTTTTTAAATGCATAGCAAAAACAAAACAACAACAACTCTAGCTCGTATTCTACTATTTCTACCAGAAAAGAACTCAAATGAGTGGGAATAAACTTAAGAGGAGAAGCTTCTTTTGAGTATCACCTCCTAGTTAAGGTGGGTAAAGTGAACAAGGGAGTTTCCACCTAAAGTCGCTTACACAACCTACCTGCTGTAAAGTTAAAAACAAAACAGTGTTGTTTCTGCCATTGTTAAGTGTAGCTTCCAAATTCTACAATAATTTTTTTAAATAATATAAAGTGACTTTACAAAAAAAACTTTGAACAATAAAATTCAAGGTCCACAGTTCAAAAGTGCACAGAGCATGATCGACTTTCCATTCATCGATTCTACCCTCCAGAAGTAAACTTTGTAAACAAATTTGTATGTCACTGATTTTTGTATGCACATGAAAGTATATGTGTGCATGTGGAAATATGTATATATTTTAAAGATATATACA